AGGAAACTGGACAAGTGAAGTACAAAAGAAGAAGTGGGAGGCCAAAAACTATCCACAGCACAGGAACGGTCCCTAAAAGTCATGTCCTCCAAGTCTGAAAAAAAAAAATCCAGCAAAGAACTGACTCAGGCTCTGAGAGATGCATTTGACTCTTCAGTTGATTGCTCACTGAAGTATCATCAAAAATGGTCTCAGTGGATGGGTGGCTGTCAAGAAGCCGTTCTTAAGGAAGAGAAAAAGTTGAGATATGACGAAAGCAGACAGAAAACTAGTGCCAACAAAGCTTATGGAGTATAAATCATCATCACTGTGTGCTGTATGGAGGAGGTCAGGAATGAAGTACAGCAGTGAGCGTCTATAGCCATCTGTAAAACACAGTGAAGCTCTGCCATGGTGTGGGGCTGATCCCAAACACACTGACAGTGCAGTTAAAGCATACCTGGATAGAAATAGACACAACTGAACACTATTAGTCTTGGTTTGGTCTCCCCGGAGCCTCGACCTTAACACTGAAGCAGTGTGAGATCGTCATCTATCAGAGGCAGCCAAATGCAGAACAAGAGCTTTGAATGTCCTTCAAGAAGCCTGGGGAACTATTCCTGAAGACTACTTAAAGAATTCAGCCCCAAACAGGAAGCACTTTCATGCAATGAAACCGTGCACCACCTTTTATGTTAATTACCACACTAGCAGGGTCAGAGGATGGACACCGAATTATATGAGACCTAAGCTTTTAGCATCAGCGGTAGCAAACATACCGACTTACTCTAAACCTATAATGATGACATAAAAGACACAGGCGGTGCGCCCTGTCATTATGTGGTGAACTTCAGTCGATGCAGTGGTTAGTGAACGCCCTCTTTTTATCGGTGCTCATATTTGTGGGCCAGACTGGGACGGCTGAGTGATTACGTTATGCAAATCTGAGATTCACTCGGATGAGAAGTCCAACTCGTAGAGCTCGGCTAGAAGTTCCCGCCTGTATTCCTCGAACTACAATTGTAACACATCTTCATTTTTCATCCTGAACTCATTTTCTCTGCCTCTCACTCTGCTGGAATGTAAGTTTATTATGTTCAGATGGACATGTTTACAAGGAAGCTTTAATGGTTCCATTGCAGACGGTTTCATGTGTCCTTAATCATTAATGGAAAATTCACTGTAGAGCACCGCAGAATGCTTGTTTTGTTTTTTTCTGGAAGCCATCATTCTTATGTTGTGTTTCCCATTACAGAACCATTATCTGTCTCCACAGTACTGAGCATATTTTGAACTGAGTGCTTTAGCTGACATTTGAGACCAGAGTCCAAATGAGTTTTTAGAAACATTGTTAGGAAAGCAGACACGAGGCAAAGTTTGAAGATTCTCATGTTTACTGCTCTTGAAGTTTTCAAAGAAGTATTTCAAAGTCAGCACCAAATGATGACCTATCACAAATTTATACCAGAGACATTCCTTGTCCTTGTTTGGGTATATTTTGGAAAAAAAATCCAAGAAGAAATATGTGACTTTCTGTTTAGACGCTGTGTCAAAGCCACTTCCCATTGTGTACACTGGATTAAATGCCCCATTTAAGAATCATTCCAGATCCAAGAAGCAAAATTTGAAAGAGGATGTGCTGTTCTGTGTGCAATATTTATGAGAAAGTTTAGCTTTTTTGTTTGCTTTTCAAATATGTTTTGAAACCAGGCTTCTCAACCTTTTCCAGAACGCTGAATTAAGAAACAAGGTTTAAATCATACTTCTCTAACTGAGCAAACTGGGGATTCAAGCATGCCATCAAATGGATTGAAACTGCTATTTTGTGAAAACCAGTCTTTTTGGAATCAAAAAAATGTCTTTTTTTTTTTTTATCGGCTAATTAAAATGGAAAATAAGCAATCCTATTGCTGCCAGTTTTTTTTTTTTAATTAGTCTCGTCTGGCGGGGTCCAATATAGTTATTATTTCTCTTTTTTGTGGGACTTCATCAACTGGAAACAAAATGTGATATTTTAAATGAGTTAGGACATTCACTAATGATCAACCTTGATATTTTATTCAAAGTTAAAAATCAAATAGCTTTCAAAGATAAAAGGTTCCCCCAACAACCTTGGACAGGCCATTAGGCAAGGCCAGGGGCCACTGTTTTAAAATAAAATTGGAATAGCAGATGACTGTTGAGACCTAAGAGTGTAGCGAGATGACAAAATAGAACTGGTGGATGAGACTGAGAAATAAAACTGCAAAAGGAAGAAGGAAACCAAGACAGTATCCCCGCTGCTTGCTTTTTTAATAGCAGCAATCAGTCAGTGGAAGAGCCCTGCCTGCACACAGAGAGGCAGAAAGGAACCAGGGAACGTAAGACAGATTATAGGAAATAACAGCACGAGGCCATAAACACAGGAGTCATGTCGCACCACAATTTTGAAATGCCACCGTTTACTGCTGGCAGACGCTCAAACACACTTTTAACAGGAAGGGCGCCGAGTATGAGCGCTTGTGCACGGGGGTCCCTGCTCAATTCGCACTCCAGACTTTTTGTGTTTCAGGTGTATAACGATCTTGCTGCATGGTAGAATACTATATATGCAACTAAAACTGTTAGTATTTGTATGAATGCACGGATCCCACATGTAGATGCGTTTAAAATAGAGCAAGTTATTTCTAAGCAGCAGCTCATAATGGTCTAGTTAGCATAGAGAAAGCCTCTGGAGAGGACAATACATTCCAATCCACCATCTATCAATGTGGATCTCTGATTTAATTGAATGGAAACAGCTCTTTAGTGTTATCCAGATGGTGCCATCTTATATTATCCTGCAGATGGCAGCAAAGTCCTTTGACAAAAATACTGGTTTATTTAATACAATATTTGACGTGTGATGTTTTCGTATCTTTCCATGAAACTGGTGCCAGCTGTGTGCTGACATGTTTGAACAGGTTTAATGTTTATAACTCATCTATCTGCTCATCTTTGTCCATCAATGTCATGTCAGTGTTTCTTCATCCAGCACTCCAGTCATGGTCGTGGCATTCAGCGGTGATGATTTGACAGGTTGATGGAGCAGATCCATCTCTTGTGCTTACAATACAAGAAATGAAACAGAGTTAAGACGGGATCCTGCTGCTGCCTCATTTTTATTAATTATTTCTCCTTTTCTGCTCTTTTACATCCTTAACATCTGAAAGCAGCTCTGCCTTCGTCCTGTTGGTTCAGCAGGCATGTGGCATGGCAGCCCTCTGACACCTTTACTGCTCTGGCACAAGTTCAAATGTCACTAAATCTCCAGTTATAAAAGGTGGTCATAAACACCTAATGGCTGGCCATGAATTTTTTAGAGCCCTGAATATCACACAGAAATGACCTCTGGAAAACTACAACCTTAACAAGACGCATCTGACAGACAGATAACCTCCACAGCCGGTGCAACTCGAGGCCCTCCCTCCCGTTTTTGTGGTTCTTTAGCTTTTTTCGTGGCATGATTGGATTGATTTGTCATTTGCAACAGAAAGAGCTTGGCCACGGGGCTGTGGATAATCCAATTTATCGCTTTGCCATTTATTACAAATTTCTGTGGCTTTTGGGTCCACTGTCACATCGATTCGTTGATTGCTTGCTTAGCTGGGTCCTAATGAGCTGCTGTCTGAATCACTGCATAATCGCCACCCTAATTCACTTCCTTGCCTACCCTCACACTTGGTCTGCTGGCTCGCCACTATTAGAAAGGGATGGACTGCAGCAGCTCTTCCGGCGCACAATTAGTAACATCATCCTTGAAGCGGGTTGTCAATCTGCGTACATTACCATTTAATAAATGACAATGCTTTAGTGGCTGTCACAGGGTGAGATGATGATGCAGCGGCATCTAATTTACAGGTGAATCCAACATGGCGTGAAGAGCAAAGTCTTAGGAGAGGCAGATTTTTGCCAATTTGAAACACTCTGATAGCTCACAGTTGTAAACTCATTGAAGTTTAGATCTATAGCTCAGTGTAAAAAACCCAACAACCAACACATTTCTAGTTACAGGTGGACACAAAGGAATATATACAAGGCTTAAAATATAAAGTATAAAATTAAAATATAAATACAGTTTATGTATTCTAAATATTTACAGTATCGTTATCTTGAAAAAGTCATTAGAGATTGCTTTAATGCACAAAAAATGCAGATGACTATACACTGTGCATGCTACTGCTTCTGAAATTCATCATATATATAAAATAAAATACACACTACACATGGCATCCTGTAGAATTTGCAACTAATTCACTCCCATTACCTCTGAGATTCGTCATTCCTACTCCTCAGGGGGAAAAAAAGATTAAAAAACAAAAACAAAATGAGAAAAAATGTTGAAAAATGAATCCTAGCTACCCCCTCATTCCCCAACCTCTTTGTTCTTCCCTTTTTTGTCTCGCTATAGTTATTGTTACAAATATTTTAGGGATACCGTGCAAATACCAAAAAAGCACACGCTGCAATTTGCAGGTTGTAATCTAAAGCAATATCTTTAAGGCAAACAGAGTCAGGTCTGGGACCAACACACCCTTTGATTTCCAGAAGCATCACTTCGAGGTTAGCCGATACCCAAAGAGGACAGATTAGAGAGTAAATACCACTAGGTAAGGGTTTACCTCTGCACCAATATCAGCCTGTCTGCATGGCATTTATCAAGCTTGAAGAGGAGCTTAAGGACACACTGGGATGTGTTTGCAGAGAGGCTGGTGGATAAATATAGGAGGAAGCTAATCAAGCCATCTATCAACAAACGATGCGCACCATCTGTGAGTTTCATCACTCGTCCTATAGAACAGATTTTTTTTTCAGTGCAAGTTCCAGTCTGATGTATGATGCGCAAAGTAAGTGCTGATGTACTTCAAGTATCATAGCTAAATAACTCTCACCAGAAATTTGCATATTAACAGATGGGGAAATACTGTAGGCAGACAATCAGACAGGAGGAGAGATATCCATGCTGTAACCAATCTTACCAGCAAGAAACACATGCAAAATGATTTTCAGACAACATTTCTTTAATACAAAGTCAACATATCTACATACACAGTGGCTTTAAACCAATTATTGTTTCAGTTAGAAGTAACAGTTTGAAAGTGATAGCACTTGGCCCTCATACAAAAAAAGTATTTTTCTGAATTTGGGTTGTTTTTTATTTTTTCCAATTTGTCGTACTGTATACGTTCTGTTATTTTGATTAATTGATTAAGTTAGGGTTCATCTTTTGTTATTTCCCCTCTTCCCCTGAAATATTCAACATACTCCTGCAAATTTGGCGGTTTGTTTTCAAAAGCCTAACATCTTCACATTAAGTCAAAAAAAAAAAAAACGTAACACATTGCACAAGCTTTGAAAGACTTCCATGGTTTCAGTTTTGGCCTGGGCCCTTTCTCATCAGCCTCACTGAATTCCAGAGTCTTTCATCTTAGGCTTTGAGTTCATTATGAAACATCTCAAGGTTCCCACTGTTCAGAAATGACATGCTGGAAATGTGAATTTGCAGCACGTTTTTGGTTGTCTCAGTCTTTCCTTGGTTGCATCACTCTGCTATCTTTCACTGAGTCCTGATTTCTTTCTGCATCCCAAAATGAAGCATGGTCAAAGACAAAAACAAAAACCAAAGAAAAAACAGTATGGTTCTGTTCCAGGCTTAAAAAAAATGCACCGGGGAGACAATAAATCAACGTGTCATCTTGGAACTGAACCATGTCTGGCCTTTAGCATAGCTGTATTTGCTCCTCAGCTAATGATATATTTATGGATTAACACCTTGGCATTTTAGGGAGTTGAACAGTTGCACATCTTCTGGGGGTTTTGTGGAAAGTGTTAAGGAATGAAGGATGCCTCCAGCGTTTTTACCGTAGCTGTGGCTTTAAGAATTTACACCTTTGTGATTAATCCTTTGTTTGAGAATTATTTTAAGACAATATTTCTTTTTCAAAAACACCCTTTAGTTGCTCCACTCTGTCTTTCACCTAGAATAAGAATGTAACAGGTCCTTGAAATAATGATTGATTAGCAATTCAAATAGTTGACAGAAAGAACTAACCTCCCAGGCTTGGTCAAATTATACCAGCAGATCACTGGTGCTGATTTCGTGCTCTGTTTGAGGCTATAGGTATGAGAACAGAGGCTGGCATGTTTCCCATTTCAACTGCTAGCAGGGGAAATTAAAGTCAGAAGAAAAGTGAGTGGTAATTAAAGACCAGGGAGGAAGGACTGGAGAAGAGAGGTTTCAGAAAGCAGGCTCTACAACCACCAGGATGTGAGAAGGACTTTGATTTTTGTATTTCTGTCCCCACCTAAAGTATGAGATCTTGAGGTCAAATGATACAAATACATATAATCTATATATTTGTTTATTTACAGGTATACTCTAGATCATAGTGGATATCTAACAAAATGAATGGCCACATTATGTCTGAAAAAGAAAAAAAAAGAAAAGAGAACTTGAAGAGGATTTTCTTAAACTGCGAGGGTCATAGCCTGACCATGATCATACAAGATACAGTTCGTCAAGTTGGTCCTATATAGGTAAGAAAAAAATCGTCAGTTTTGAAATATTTGATTGATATTTTGTAGATCACTTCATCAACAGTTGCTCAAAAGAAAAAGAAAAAACGACAAAAAAATAAAAAATAGAAATAAAAAATGGCATCTCCTCATCGGCACAGGTTCTACCCTCAGGTAGAAGAGCAATGGTGAGTGGAGGCAGAGGATTCAGGCATAGTGCTTCCCTCACCTTCCATTAAGAAACACACAAGGTCTCTAAGATTATATATTTATATATATATATGTATGTATATATTAAAAAAACCACACACACAAAGAAAAACAAAATGAAATAAAATCATATTTTCAAGCATGAGAACTGACATGTTTAAAAAACAAAAAAGATGATGAGGAGAAACATATAATTCATACTAAGGTTTGGATATATCTTCATATTCTGCATTTAAATATATATGAATGTGTGAGTGCGCAGTACACATGAATGCATACATATATGCGCACAAGCACACAGCCATGTTATACTTAACATTTCTACAGTGAAAAAATAGAATGTCTTTAAACATAATATGAACAGATAAGCTTTTCTCTTTTCCTGCTAATTTTAAAAAATGATACAACATCTGTTAGAAAACTAAACTGAAAAAAACAAAACAACCAAAAACATAATAAAAAGTCAACTATGTAGTGTAAAATAAGTCGTCATAATACAACATTAATGTTTTCGTAATGTTACAGTAACAATAAGGCTTTTTTGGAAATAAGAAAAGATTACACACAGTTCTGTCCATCGCTCCGGCTTTTGTGCACACCCACCGGAAACCTGCGCGGGATCCGTAACGCTCGCGTATACCAAAGCGCTGTTCTCGAAATGAAAACCCGGTGATCTCAAAAGCTTGATTTTTCTTTTTAAATCACAACATACACTAGTGTGTCGACCTGCAGTTGTTCGGGGAGAGTAGGGAGGGGTTGGCGGGGGTAATACGTTTAAAGTTAATCTTTTTTTCGTTTGGGGATGTGCAAGTAACTTGTACTGGAGAGTTTCAGGAACGCGTCACAGCGTCGAGATCCATCATGGCTCCTTGGTCTGGCTGTGTCACCCACAGAGACATCACCTTGAAAACGGAGGGCAAATACCAAAGCATCTGTTTTTTTTTTGGTTTTTGTTTTTTGTTTAAATGTATCCACCTGTCACCAAAACACACAAACAGTGGAACTAAAGGCCAATTTTTCAACCACATTAATGTGCAGCTTGGTAACTGCAGCAGGCCTTTGCCACTTGAGCGTCTTATACAATGATATAGATGATTATAGAGGAGGCTGGGCGAGAGGGAGGGGAAAAGGAGGCGTGGATGATGACGTCAAGTGGATGCGCTTTCAGTCATGCCAGTTATCAGAGATGGCATCTTTGATTCATCAGTTTCCTCTCCTTCCAAAGTCACACGTACAGCGTACACGAGATAAGCAGCATGTTTGGTTTTGACAGAAAATCATAATAATAAAAAAAAACGAGAAAAACGAGATAATTCCTCATTAGACAAAGTTCTGGAGGATGACGATGAGCGTTGGTCACTGTACACAAAGAGAGCCCTCACTTTTGCGGCAATCCTTGTTTGGTTGTTCCATTTTTGTTCCAAAGCCTTCCCCCCCCACCAGGTTTATCTCTTGTTCAAAACCGTGGATGTTGAAACCGCAGCCCCACAATGTAGTGGTTCCAAAGACAGGAGCGATTGTTAAAAAAACAGAAGAAAGAAAGAAAAATCACGGGACACGGCTGCCGCTTGTCTCACCTTGGCTGCACGCAAGACGACGCGGCGGAGGCTTCGTGCAGCAGGCGAGACTTTTATCCGGTGACTGATCTTTGCACTGTTAATATACTGGCGTGTTGCAACATTCCTGCGATTACCTGGCTGAGGATACTGATTTCACACGAATTCACAACTGATGCAATTAGCACATTTTAAGAAATGTGTCGCTGTTTTCATCCTCACAACTGTAAGAAAACCAAAAAGTGTCTTCTTTTAGCTCTTAGTGCTCGAGAAGAAGTCGCTTTAATAGTCGAGTGTTATCCCACACAAAATACTGTAAAAACTTTAGGTTTTCTTGAAGGATTTGGTGCCGAATGTGAGTGAACTTGTCCTTTTCTGTTTATTTTGTTTCACTTTTTTTGTACAGCTTGATAAATCTTTTATGCAGGCAACCAGTTTCTTCATTTCTCACAATATTACTCACACACTGTGTTGATGGAAATACTTGAACCCCTTTTACACCCGAGCATATCAAAAAACAAGATAGTCACCAAGTCTTGGCTACATCCATCTGCTTCTCAGTGTTTTTTACATTTTTATTTGTATTTTTTTTGCCTTCCTTTTCCTTCGTCATCTGTCGCTTGTTACTGTTGTGTCACGAAGATATTTTTTGAGAAGAGAAACGTCCACGAATGTTTACAATGTCCTCCACATTGAAACACTTGAGGTAAGGTAAGCAGTCTGACACTTTGATCAAAACCCGCCCCACATCTTGAGCCACAGCATCTGGTTCCTCCCCTGCCGAGGATCTTCTTTTCTTGAGATGATGGACAATTTTCTTGTGTTTCCTTGTGGCATATTTGAAAAGTCAAATTGGACTCTGAACTGGTTGGACCGGGTGTTGTCTTAAAAAAAAAATAAATCTAGGAGATCCTGGTTGATGTGGCTGAATTGGCGGTGGCGATGTGGTTGTTTGCTGTCGTTTTAAATTTTAGTTCCTATGGCTCAAGAGGCTGTTGAGGTGGGGGTGGGGGGGCAACAGGATTCAGAGGAGGGGGAGGGGGGGAGATGGCTTTTTACGTTGCATAGTGATCAAAGCTTCCTAAGTACTCCAGAGCTGCGTGATAGCAGAATTGATACTCATCCTGTGGAGGGAAAAAAACAGACAGACGCATAACAAATTGCATTAGAACACCTCCCCAGGAGTTTAATGACATGAGAGATTACAATTTTCAGACAATTTCAACTTGCAGTAAATTTCGCAATTTGCTGAGGCAGCGCATGTCCTGACAAGATCATTCTATAGATCCTATACCTAAGTAGAAAGCCTAGATTGGCATGAGCAAAATTTTTTTGCTAAATACAAAAACTTGATGTTGCATTTACCCATTTTCACACAGGAAGACCAGAAAACCAATAATAGACCTTATGGGGGTGAAGACACCCACCCAAAAGTGGTTTAATAGAGCGTTGCTAACTTATTGGTGGTCTTTTAAAATTCCACAAGTCTATCCAAATGAGGAGCAGTGTATGTTATTGTGTGTGACTCTGTGATTTCTCACCTCAGTTTGGACCATAGCTGGCCTCTGTGTTCGGAGCATCTTCACCGTTTGGAAGATATCAACCACACCTTCATAACGCATCCTTTCCAGGACGATGCTAAGGGTGATAAAGACTCCGGTCCTGCCCACGCCAGCACTGCAAACACAAAAAGAGAAAAAAGTGTATTCAGAAAGATGTAAAGCACGCCCTGTGCACACAGCGAGTGAATGGTGCCTTTGTAAATTGCACCTTTCTCTCGTGTCGCATGCAGCATTTTGTGGGGGACAGTGACTGCAAAGATCTAAAAATACTTTGCACACTGGAAGCTCTAACCACTTAGAGGAAGCAAACTTCCACAGCTGGACATTCTGCTCCACGGTAAAACACCAGTGACACTAGCAAAGGAGGCAATTTGCATGTGAGAACCTCGTGAATCCACTTACATATTGTGGCCACATTCTTGTCTAACACACACACACACACACACACACACACACACACACACACACACACACACACACACACACACACGCACACAAGCCCAAGGACACATAGGCGCACATTTCGAGTCGCACACAAGCGACCAAGCAAACATTTTGTCTCATTAAGTCCCTCCTCCCATGTGTCGAAAAACTCAGCCTTCTGCTGCTCTCCAGAAATACAGCCCGAGTCTTAACTCAGATCCTGAAATACTTGAGAGCTGCCTCTCTAAGCTGCTTTGCTGTGAAATGACTTCCACTTCACCAATGGAACAATAATTGATATGACAACAGATTTATTTGGGCTTCTTCCAGCCTCTGATGCTATTTTGTCTGAATGGAGAGTGGAAGTGACGGCTGCTGGGAGACACTTTTTTGACTTGTGCGTGAGTTTGTTGACAAGTTTGCGTGTGTCTGCTGGAGGAAAACGGCGCACTTGAGACAAAAGATGACTTGGTATTGTTTGACGCCATTAAATGAAAAAAAAAACAGGAGCCTAATCACCCCCACACTGCAGTATCTCTCAACCCACCCAAAGCCTCTTCATGGGAGTCAGTCACAGACTGTCACATGGGCTCTTAAACTCACTCAGAGCTCCCCCCTCTCTCTCTTTCTCTCTCACTCTCTTTCAACCTCTCCCACTCCCCAGGAAGATCGACTCTCCAAATCTGAAGGCTCGCCGAGCCGCTGCAGACTGAGAGGATTTGGTGTCCCCATTCACAGGAAGTAATCAGGCAATTAATGACAAAAAGCATGTGGGTCTATTAGATAGACGCTGAGGAGGAAGGGAGAAGAATAAAAGAAAAGAGGTGCAGGAGAATGGATGGACCGAGAGGAAGCGAGAGAGAGCGAGGATTAAGAAACAGACAGGCAGTTGACGAACGGGGTAGGCGGGTGACAGAAGACGAAAGAGTAAGAGAAAAGGAAGCTATAAGCTCTACTCTCGGAAACGACTAAGCCTGAATGAGGAGGGATGGAGAAAGTTGAGAGGGCTACAATGATTAGATGGGAAAGGAGGTAGCTAGAGTCCCGACAGATAATGCAGCCAACAACTATTACTACTCAACTACTCGAGATACACATCGGTGCAAAATGATTCCCTGATTAATATCATTGAACTCTAATGACATAAAACACTTTGCTGTGTTTACTCGTGCGCACGCCTCAAAATCAGGACCGCATTTGATGAGATGCATCACTTATTTAGGTGCTAAATGCAGCCTCTGTCTGCTTTCTTGTGCATTACTCCAGTCCTGCAATAACCAGGCCTTTCACTTTAAGGACAGCACTCCCATAAAGGCTTCACAGAGGGGTAGAATAACTCAGTCTTAGTGGTGCTAGCCTGACACAAGTCCGAGACAACTCCCAGAGGGTCATTTGATGGCTGGTGACATCATTGCTTTTTAATCCAAAGGACGTTATGCTACATTCGATGATGTCATGGCGCCTCTGCAGTAGAAATGGGGCGCAAAAGTGACACCTATTCTGCTCCAAAGGTAAAGTATTTTTAAGAGACAGCAAGGGAATTATTAGTGTTCGCCCATTTGTATCCTTGGAGCTGAATGCCAATCAAATGTTTAAAAAAAGTGTGTCGGAGATCATATACGAGACATACATTCCGTCTTTGCTAGTCTCGCAGCGTATACAGAACCAAAGCCGTGAAGATTGTCCTCATTTGGCTACTGAGAATAACAAGTCATTCAGACGGATCCCACTCAGGGTTATGAATATTAATAATCTGACGTTCTGCTGGTGACCACTACCAAATATCAATTACTACCTGTAATACAGCATCTCGAGTTAATGGTGAAAGTTACCTTGGAAACTACACCGGAGGTGATAAAAATGCACCACGCAGTGATCGTAAAACCCCCAAAAGAATGGCTGTATCATTTCATATGTCTTCTCCTTGCAAATGCCAAGCCACATCTGAGGCTTATCAATTATGAAAGAGAAGGGCCCGTGGAGGTGCTGAGGTAGTGCACTGCGCTTGGCAAAGAGGAGAAGAGGGATGTTGTTAGCGCTGCGCCTTAGGAGGAGCTCTGCTGCAAAACAATAACCATCTTAAGAAGAGATTTAATCTCGTCTTGAGACATATCGCTTTCAAGAAGAGAAGAATGTCTTTAGAGACCGGTTTGAGGCAAAGCAGGCGACAACTCATCTCCTTTTAGGAAAACAATTATTAATATAAAATAAAATATACAAGCCATATAATGCACATGACAACATTACCTGCAGTGGACAGAGATTGGGCCATCCTGCCCAAACTGCTCCTTGGTTTTATGCACCTGGCCAATAAAATCAATGAATCCTTCCCCCGATTTGGGCACGCCTTGCTCTGGCCAATCAGTAAACTGGAACTGCCTTACTGTTCTGGACTGGCCATCCTGCAAAACAGAGAGAAAATGAGGTGAGCAGCAAAGATACATTTAAGGTTATCTTAAATGGCGACAGTTCCCACCAACAATTCCACAGTATCAGTATCCTTCCACCAACTCTATGCAGAATAAATGCACTACTAACAGAAGGATCCCCTGTTGGTTGTATGCAAGCATGTTTCTGCTTTGTCTCTCCAGCTGAATTGAGGGTCTAGACAAAGGTTGTCACTTGCTAGAGATTGAAATCGATTTGACTTGAATTTGTAAAGCCTTGTTTTTGTCCTTCTCTGCTGTGCGTCCATCGAATTGTCGCGTAGGTTCAATAAGAGATAAATGCAAGAACATTTGTTCACACGTGTGGCTGAGAAAAGTGATTCTGACAGAACTAAAAGTTTAAGACGGGCATCCATAATCAGTGTGACCAATCCAGCAGGGAACCAAATGTGAAATATGGTTACAATCTCCCCTTCTCTCTCTTTTTGAGTTATTGTGCTGAATAATGGCTAGAAAAGTGTTTTTGCAGAACATTTTGATACTGGAGTAAAATTGTGACCTTTTTGGATATAAAATGTCATCATTTTATCATTTTATTCTATTAGACAGCAGCTTGAAATGTTGTCATTATTAGCGTATGAATTCTTAAGCTATGGCTGAGAGAGGTCACAGTGACCTTGGGTCCTGGTGAACATTAAAGACAAACTTGAAGAAAATCCCTTAAGGCATTTCTGAGATATTGCATTCTTGAGAAAAAAGGACAAAGTTATGTACATCCACACAGAGGACAAACTGAAAGCAAAAAACGCCTTCGTACTAATTAAATATGCACTTTTTTTCTGTATAAGACTAAACCTGCTGATACAGTGACACACATACTGCTCACAACAGAGGGACAGTGTGTCCTCTCTTACTCAAACCCAACTGTTTCCATTTTCTTCCCTATTGTGTTCACAGCGCGCAGTCGCGTGTGTGTGTCACAAGTAGGTCCTAGTTATAGCTAATCAATAGTGCATCTGCCATGACAAGCGTCTTCTCCTAGACACCAAGTTGAATAAGATAATCCTGAGATGCGATCAATAGAGCAACGTGATGGATGAGCACGGAGAAGGAGGGATGTAAGAAGTAAGAAGGACTTATGGACAAGAAGGCGGGATTGGAGGATGAAAATTGGAAACAAAAACCCTGACACAATGACGTGCATGTTCGAAAAATGTCAACCTTGACAACTTAATCTTTTATTGATTCTTACAACCTTGTTGTAATGGTGAGGCAACTACATTTGCTTCAACTGCAGTGCAAACAAGCGCATTTGAATAGTTTTTTTATCCAATGAAGTGGCATCGCAGGAGGAGAACGGACAGGATCTGCTTTATTATGAGAGAGCTGATTATCCACTCTGAGAATGCACAGTCGATACTCGTGTCCTTGTAAAGAAACTTCTTTTGATGTTGTCTCAGAGACAGCACATTGCTCGAGAAAGCCGGCGAGCAGACGAGCATTTTCGCAGAGACAAGCTCTCCGCTTGATGCCACCAGTAATTAAGACAACCAGGTGTTCATTTCTCCAGTTGTTTCTCACTTCTCAGCACAACAGACCTCAGCTTGGATATGAAGTGTCATTCTCGCACATTCTCTATAGATTTTTTCACACACATGGCGGAAGCACAACTGGTTGAGTACTCAGTTGGCAAGTAAACAATTTATTGTTTTTGAAAATCCTGCTATTAGCTGCTAACGATACTTGATTCTAAAATTTGTTTGGAGTAAATTTGACATTTGAAGTTTGTTACAAATGTTAAAAGAGACAAATTCTCAATTATGTTATTGGGGAAAAGAATAACATTGCAATAACATCTTCATCTGAGTAAATTAAAAGTGTCAGTCAGTAGTTAGCTTCAAGCTAACAGTCAGTGCACATGTACAGTGTTTAACCAGTTTATTAGGTCACCACCCAGTGTAAGCTTTATACCACAGCTGCCCTAAATTAACCTTATTGGTAATTACAAAATCATTTGTATGTTTCTGTAATGGTTAATCCACCAGTAATCATTGTTTTTTTTATGCTAAAATCTAATTATCATTGTTATCCACCAATTTTAAATTTACTGATTAAAAAAAAAAGCTGAAAAATAATAAAAAACATTATTATTTTTTGATAAAGATGGCAAATTATTTACTTGCAGAAAAATGCCTGATTAATTTCTGATGTCTCAGCAAAGTCCACTCAAATTTGGGGTATAAAAATGCTAATTCGGTTTATATATATATATATATATATTTTTTTTTTATGAGAATAGCATTTTTACTTTTAAAGACATTATTGAAAGATTACAAAAATATCTGTGTGTTGTTTATTTTTGAAAATCACAGGTAGTATAATAAATTATAATTTTCCCCAATATTGTTGAAGAAACTGCAGCATGGTGTATGTAAAGAACAAGATGCAATGAAGACATGCAACATGCTTCATGTCATAAATGACAAAAATCATACTGAGCAGAATTCATGGTAAATGTCAAATGTGTTGAAGTAAACAAGTACCTGAGGGTCTCTAACCATCATGGATGGGAGCTGTCTTACATTCTTACTGATTTATTCTGATTTTTGCCAAGAGCTAACCATCCCCCCGTTCAGACGGTGACTCTATGCTGAACATATATACTTTACGTTGTTACTATATGTCAAAGGATTTAAATAATCTGCCTATTGTCACATGGGACTATACGTGCTGCTGATGTGAGTCTGCATCGCTGCTGCCAAGGGGTACTCTTGTACATTTATTGTGCTTGACAAATACAGTGATTTAGAATCTAATAAGTTAGGCCCCGTATACCAGCTCTCTTTGTAAAACACCTCATGTCTCTTTCCCTGTTTTATGACGCATTGCATGTTTTCTTTCTTGTGTTGCCTTTGTTTTTCCATCTCAAAAACATTTAGCCTCAGCAGGGGGATTAAAAATGAAAGAGGGGCAAAGACAACAACACAATAAACTAAGCACGCGAAAGAAAGAAGGGGGGGTGTGGTGGGGGGGGGAGCAAAATTTAACACACAACCTGAGGGCCCACGCGCCGTGTCAAATTGTGTGATTAAATACGTGACTGGCTCGCTAGATGTGAGTGTTGAGGCGTGGAGTCTATGCTATTACTGCGCAGAGGCATGCGAGAGAAACACACACAGCTGTGTGCACACACACACACACACACACACACACACAGTCATACATATACAAAACAGACAAACATGTACATGTGATCTGTGCAATAGCAGGGTAAGCCCAGGTCACAGACACTTTTAAGTGCATACACAATCAGCAATATGGGGTCGAAACCTGCAAGATCGACGCACACGCACACGCACACGCGCAGCCTGAAAGCACAGACCGGACTATCACCTGCACCATCTCTCCGCTTTGTTTTCTTAACTGTGTGATAAGCTTTGACTGCCTGTTTGCTAACACTGTTTGCTTTGATGATTGAGTCCCCTTTGACAATCCTCGAAAAGAAAAGCAGCACTGACCAGACCTCGGGGCATCGTGTTTGCATGCACGTTAGAGCAATCTCATACTTTATATGCATTCATATCTTCTTACTAAAACGATGGTAGCGCATGTATGCATATGTATCTGTGTGTATCCAAGCTACTCCGAAACGACTGGGTCAATCTTACCGAAACTGTGCACGAACATCGTCACACTCACAGCGATAACCTCTACAGTTTTGTTCCACTCACTAAATATGGGATGAAGAATTAGAAAAAGCAGGCCCGGCTAGTGTGTTTAATCTATCAGAGCCTTTGGAAGATGATATCTGAACTTGTGCGCGTGAACTAATAGAAATATACAGAGGAAAGGAGATCGGCATGAGCCTTTTCATGAGTGCATGTGTGCGCGAGTCTTTGAGTTGCCTTAATTGCTTTAATACCAACAGGATGATGCCTGGGAAATCAGTGGGTATATCAGCCGAGACAGGAGATTTTCATCTCTCTGCTAGATTTCTACTGTTGCTCCTTTGAACTGTCTGACCTAATTTGACCAAAAAAGAAATGTTATCGGAGGTAAAGAGATAACTACAAAAGAGCAGAGTAGCTTCTTAACAGTTCAGGGTGAGAAAAGTCAGTTCAGTAGTGAAACACTGTATGGAAATCTATCTCACAATAGAAACAGAAAAAAACTCTTTTAAGGAAGGTTTTTGGGATAAATATGGCGAGACTGCGATGTTTTTCTGTTTACGTGGCCTAGTTTTACTCAACTTGCTTAATCTTCGACATTTCCAACACCTCAGTGAGTTGTTGATGGCGCATCTGTCCAAATTATAACATCTTTTTTTTACACTCTTGTACTTTTAGTCTTTTGAGGAGGCTAAAAATGCGTCATTGGCACACAACTTCTGATGAACAAAAGCATAAAGAAGAAGACTGGAAAAAGTCCCTCTTGCGCTTTGATACAAAGAAACTGCAGCTGAATATCTATTGAGTGCTGACAGCAATTTAGTACAAAGTTTTCTTTTAAGGTGTGATGGGCAGATTTCAGATTTACACCCCAGCGTCAACAACAAAAGCCGCTGAACAGAAAAAATACAACATGTAGGCTACAGTGTGGAAACATGTACAGGCTCTGTGTTTATGTAGGCTTTTCAAGGGTGTAATGTATTGTATTTATATATTTTGCATTCATTGGAAAATTTCACATCTTGTGCCCTATTTAACCCTCCCAAACCGCCAAAGGACCCCCTCTTACCCTGGCGTCTGTGACCTTGAACTCTCGGAGGATGTACTGAGGCATGTTATACTCTGCCATGGGATCTACCACAAAGTACTGATACCTGGCAGAGCGCTCTGCAGGCCAGTACTGGTGACATTTTTCCTGTTTGAAAAAAAATAGTGATGACTTTTAGTGGAATTTTTTATGGCGTTTTACATTTTGATTTAAATTATTTTAATTTTTAAGCAAAAAGAGACAGATAAATAACATAAATCAGCGTCGTACCCGTCCCATCTCTCTAAGTTTGGTCAACATGACTACAATAGTGGAGTTGTTCTCCCAGAGCATTCTCCAGAAGTCTTCTGTAGTCTCCGCCAGAGGGCCCTGCGTGGCAATGTAGGCTTTCTGTTGCCTGTTTAAACAGTAAAGTCACACCATGTTTACTTGAGTAATTAACTGTAAACACCACTGATGCAAATTCAGAGGGGGAAAAACAAAATCAACCGTACGACACAAACTTGTGGACGATAAGTAAACTTGATGATTGCTTTTACATAATAATACACACGATTACATGACTGCTATGAGGAAAAAATACAAAAATAGAATGAATATTTCTCTCATTTTCTTTATTCCATGTAATATATGTCTCTGATCAATCAAGATGTTTCTTTGCAGTAGAAATAAACACATGAATAAATAAGCAGTTACTTCACTCATGCTGGCGTGCTTTTCTGCCATCTCAACTCTTCCTACCTGTATCCATCAATAAAGCTGGCATTGATGTAGTCAGATCCTTCCAGGCCTCTGATTGGCTGCAGGCAAACACGAGTGGTCTCGTAGGGCATGATGTTAACCAGCCGATTTTTGAACTTGTTGCAGGGAAGGTTGGCACTGATGAAGCGCGACGTGTGGGCTTTGGAGTTGGCCAAACGCTGTTGGGGGAAGACAAAGGGATAGTTTAACATACCAGAAGATAAGCAATAACTATAACAGTACAGACTAAGGTAAAAATATAGTATAGTGTTAAAAAAAAAAGAGACATTTAGTAAGACTGCAATGAATGATGCAGAGGAGGAGAATAAAGATTAAAAGCAGAGAAATGTGAGAAGATAGCACTGCAGAGGAAAGAAGTAAAAGAAAAAGGAAGAGCAGGAGAGGATGAAGAAGACAGGTGCAAGATAGCTAGAAAGTAATAAAGAAGACCTAATCTAATCTGATCTGTCACCCACGATGCCACAGCTTCAAAGGACATTGTTTATCAGGAATATATTTATCAGAAAGCAATTCAAAACTTTATTCCCGTTTGCAACTTGTGAGGTCCTGGAGGGTCAGATAAAATGACGGAAAATACGTTACACACCCAGACTAACAAGCCTCTGGATCAAGCCTGTATGAAACAGAAAACTTGCCTAAAAGTGGGTCAGTCGCAGCTTTGATAATGGCAGTGTGCATAAAACATAGACTCACATAGGGATGCTCAGAAAGACAAACACACACGCACGCTGCATAATGATCAAAATGAAAATGCCGTACTGCTACATCATCACCGTCATAAGGATCTCAGCGCGAGTTTGTGGGTCAGCAAGTCCTATGATCTCCTCCTTTTGGCTTCGACGTCTCAATAAAGAATATGTGTGTGTGTGTTCTTGCTCATTAGCAAGCAAATAGAAGATACCCTTGTCAGATGGTTTAGGACCCCTTTCAGACAGAACGCACGGCGCGCTGAAAACACCAGCAGCATCACAAGAAATGAGAACGAGACAAGAGATGAGCTGCAACTGACCCCGGTGAAAAAGAAGGCGGGATGTGAATATATTTTCTAGATTTTCCAGCTCCCAATACTTGTCAAAATACAAAAAGTCAGTGTGTTCATGCTTTTATGTGTGCGCAAACCAGGTCTAACTTTCCATTTTCTCTTCCAATTAGAGTATTCTCGGTCTCTCTTTCTCTTTCCCCCCTCGTATAGCACCAGCAGCTCTCTATCAGTGGCTTCTTGGAGTCCATCCAGTGTTTGCCTCCTCCTCCTCCCATGCCTTTATCCCTTGCTACTGTCTTGCTTTTGATCTGTGTTTCACAGAGGCACCTGGAAAGGCTTAAGGTGGCCTGGCAGTGCTAAAGAGGCCCTCAGCTACACCACAGAGGGTGAAGGGAACTGCGCCAGACCTGGCAGCCTCAATCTCTTCACCTCATACTAGCTCCTTCCCATTTATAGTACAGCATATCTGGTCAGTTTTCATTCCATTTGGCATGTTGCACCGAAACATATATTTGGTTATGTATCAGAAACTAGAGCTTAAAGAAGCACTGTGACCAAAAACGCAGTAGGACCATCCCCAGTAGGCTTCCCTGGACATAACCAAATCTAAGTGGGAAGTCAGAACCCTGTAATAGAAAATACAAGGGTCTGAGAATATTAAATACCATCTGGCATTTCAATAAATCTATAGTAAAGTATTCTGAATATCACTACAGATTTACACATATTTATTCTTTTTAGTACATTTACTATCTATTAGATCATAGGTTTTCGGTTTATTTCTAGTAAATACTATCTTTCCAATTGTGTACTTCTTTAATTATTAATTATGCATTGCCATGCAAAGCCTTGTGAGAGTTTTGTATATGTATATAACTGTTTCTATATAACTCGAGAAGATTTTTGTATTTTTGTTTGGACTTGGATCCCAATTTAAACAGCTGAATCCCAACTCATACTTGCTTCTATTTAAATTGAAATTTATCCCAGCAGCTCAGTAGCATTTTGTTGTGTGTGTATGTTGTAATCCACATACTGTTGCAAAATACGTTCTACAAGCATGCTATGTGCATAAATCTCCATAAAAATGCACATACTGTGAGCAAGAAAGCATTTTTGTCTGACTACTTCATGACAAAATTATCTTCAGGGATTCCCAACAGTTATGGCTTAACTCTGCGTGACTATGTATCCTACCTGAGAATGACAGTGCCCTCCCACTCTCGCCTATAGTGCAGTATTCTGTCAAATCACTTCCTTACTGCCAACTTAGTATACACTCGTCCCTTTGTTCATTAGCCAAACGTTCCTCCCTCCGCTTGCCTCGCCTTCCACCTCCATTTGTCATCATCAAGTATTAATTACTTAGCTCAACCACCCCTTTTCTCACACGCCTACCCCCTCTGTACTGACAGCAGGGTGGATGTTATTAATCCCCGTTCGACTCCTGATGCCAGCTCAGCATTATTTCCCGATACAGATGGCAGTGGAGTTTCCGTCACTGTTGTGCACCAGTGAAAAGACACCCCCCAAAAAAAGACTAATCGCACTGGCACTGTTGTTGTTTCTTGGTAGGGAGGCTGCGTTGATGAAAAGCGATGACGAATGATTCAAGAATCTGCGTGCGTAATCCAAGGTCAGCAGATGCTAACTGGTGTGCCAAAGTTGAGGTGACTTTACTTTATGGACGGGTGACAAATTATAGGATAAGCCCCCCAACTCAATTAACTGGCAGTGACTCTACAAGTAGCATTCTTCCAAAAGACATGTGATGTTTGATGGTGGTGATGGAGAGCACTTTCTAATATGCCACGATGTCTCATAGATGGTCAGCTAGATTGATGTCCGGTGGCTGTGACGAATTGCAACGGCTGTATAAAGGAAAAAGTACACGATGCCAGCTAATATCCCCCCGCTGTAGCAGTCACCCAGTCTCCCCATCGCAGGATTCAAGGGTTTATGTTTTTCCTTTAATAAGTCACCCCTCTGTACGTAAACACTATGCTTTGCTGTCTTTCTCACCTACTGCTTTTTCATTAATTTTTTCTTTCTTAAAAACGAAAATCCGTGCTGCTCTGAGCCAAAAAAATCCTTTGTCTTGCCCCTGCTAGATTAAACCCAATTTCTTAGCCTAAGCATATTATTGCAAAATCCTCAAAAATGAACAATGCGGCCCAACAGCAAAGGGCTTCTTATTTCTCTTTTCTAGCTCTGGAAAAAAAAAATACTACACCTCAATAGCATTGTGTGAAGTGAAGCACAAGAAAGTAAAGGAAATTTGTTTTTTAGTCACCTGTTACTTGGATAGCATCCGTAAAAAACTGACAAATAGCTGCCATTCAAATAAGGCAGTTTAAATATACCTTCTACAGTGATGCTACACTGTATAAACTGCATCTTCACTCAACTAAAATGTTATTCTTTCAGTCCCCCCACCCACCCAGGCAGTGACAGCAACCATCCAATTTGTCTCTTTCCTAGTCTCCTAATTTAGTTTCACAGCTTCTTGTCAGAAACACATATGCTGATAGTTAAGAACCACTGAAAAAACACCAAAACAAAACAAAAAAACCCCAAATCAAAATACAAAGAAACGCATTATCACAAAGCAAAGAGCAATGACTGAAACCAAAAATTAAGCACACTGCAAATAATGATGAAGAAAAATATGAAAAGCAATGAAATTGGATTTGCATCCAGAATAACTGCTGGGAAGATAAAGCTGGCAGCTAGGCTTATTTAAAAGGCTTACAGTGGCTTAAAACAAGGTGTCAGAAAAACATACCGGTGCCGTCTTCATTATTTAGTTATGATAAGGACTACAGAGAGGAAAGTTAATGTAGACATTGATCTGTGGCTGCTCGTTATTTCCCACTGTCTTGGCAGGTGACTCTGAGGAAAAACTCCAAGCAGGCTCCCTGATAATTTGCATGTCTGACCCCAGCAGAAGTTAAAGTTGATCGGTATATGTAGTTAGGGCTCATTAATAAAGAAACAACAACAACAAAGCAAGGTGTAAAACCCTCTAATTCCAGTGCATAGTGCACTTAAAATGGTCAGAAGGTTATTAAGGTTTTATAGGTTTATTTCCTATACCTTGAACTCCAGCTCCATGCCAGTGACGTGCTCACCGCTCTCCACCTGTGCAAGCTTCTGGATGTAAGAATACAGGCTCCGGGCAGCCACCTCAGTGTTTCCGCAGGCCACCGCCTCCAGCAGTGCGTCATGAATGAAGCTGTACTGGTCTTCGGTCTGCACCATGTAATTCCGCTGCGATCGCATAAGTGTCACATGGCCGTAAATGTCGACCGTCTTCTCGTGCTTGATCCGCTCCAGCATGGCGTCGATGACGATGAAGCAGCCCGTCCGGCCTACGCCCGCACTGGAGTAAAATAAAAATAAAAAAGATACAAAATTACTTTGTGTTTTGGCATTGAATATTTTCAGCGTAATTCACTGTGCCATTATAATGTTTTATATACAGCAAGTCCTGTAAGCTCTGTTGTGAAGTCACACTTTGCATAATTGAATAGGAAGACGCAAAGAGAGAGATGTTATGAAAGCTAAGAGAGGAAATAAATAAACAATAAAGGAAAATGACAAATAGAACAACAGGAGGACAGTGATGGAGACTGGGCGAAGCAAGCCGTCAAATTTCAATTTTATTGTGTAGTGCTTTGGACTCACTGAAGTCTTCTTATCTTGACAAAAAGGAAGGTTTCAATTTGAATAAGCCATCTGAGAAATAGCACACGTAAAAGGAGGAAGAGCTAAGGAGTGAAATGGGAGACGCAAAGGAGATGGGAAGGGATTACTTTTGAGGCTTTTTGACAGAAAGAGAAGAAAAGAAAAAGGTGGAGAGAATGGCAGCAGGGAAATAAAGCACAAATTAAAGAGAAGGCTGCTGTGACCAATTGAAAATAGAAGAGACAGAGGTCATTTGGGAAAGAGAGTATGCGGTGGTGTAAAGTGTTTTACGTAACCTATAATAGCAAGTACGCAGGTAAAGCCTGCCATTCTGTTGGCTCACGGACACACAATGACCTAATAACAACTGCATTACTGAAGCTGGGATTTTCCATATGCTGGGCTTGACTTCATTTTTGGGAGACCGGCTGGTGCAAGAACCACTCCTCGGTTCCTTTGAAGCACAAAAGTGAATCAAATTACAAACCGACCTGCAGTGAGCAATGATTGGTCCAGCGTCAGGCGGATTGCAAGTCTTCACCCTACGGAGGAAGGCCAGGAATGGGGTTGGGTACTCTGGTACGCCGTGGTCAGGCCAGGCGGTGAACTGGAACTGACGAACCTCCCGCTTCTCACTCGAACCATTCTGCATAACACACAGAGAGGCTGGTTGCACTGTGTTTGCACTGGGTCATTCAGTAGCTTTATTGTTGGTCTATAAACCCAAATGGTGTCTTGATAACAGTGCTGCTTTGTGCAACTTGGCTGTTACAGAGAGATGTTGTACAGTGAGACCACAAAACATTCAGAAAGCTGACATACTGACGTATTTAGTGGATACACCTGCTTACCACAAAGATGGGATTTCAGGTCAAATAAAAAGTTGCACTTTGTAGCCTTGATGAGTAAAATGCACTATAGTTTAGGTTAAAATCATCTATGATGAAATGCTTTCAACACATGCAGCTCATCAATGGCTTCAACAGTAAATCTAATAGAAAAGCTGGGGGACTGTGTAAATTGTATTGATTTGGAAATCATTTAAACCCTGTCCTTGCTGGACTGTCTCACCGAGTTAAAATTGTGGATGAAGCAAAGAAGTGGACCTCTTGAACCTCACTCGTCTTGGCTCTCCAAAACACGGGGCGGATCACACATTTGATAAACAGATAAATGCTGTTGCTACAGTTAGTTTCTTCTACCCGAGGCAAAAGGCTAAGCCCTCTCTCTCTTTTGCTAAGAAGGCAAACCATGCTTGAAAAAGAAGGCACTGGACTTGTTCAAGTGTGTGAGGATGTTTCACCTTTCATACAAGAGGTTTCTTTAGTTCTAAAAGATTTTTCAAGCTCCTACGACTACCATGACCTGGATGACTGAGAGCCTAGACGGACTAGTTCATACCTTCATTTCACCCAGGCTTGCTTTTTGGAGTAGTTTTTATTTGAGAATCAGCCAGGCGCTGCGTTCTCCTCTGCAACCAAAATGCAGCAGCTCAAGTCCTGACAGGCACCTGCAAGCGAGCTCGTATTTCCCCTGTTTTTGGATGTTTTAACTACACATTCTCTGAAATGATCATTGAGATCAGCTGACCAGATGCTTCTGGTCTTACTGTGAAGCAGATTAAAGCATAGAGGAGACCTGGCCTTCTCTGTAGATGCCCCTGAACTTTGAAACAGCCCGGGCCCTTGAAATGAGCACCTCAGCAACACTCGACATCTTCAAGAGCCGCTTGAAAACTCATTTTTATTCCTAGGCATTTAAACCAGACCGAGGCTTGGCATCTGTTTTTCCTCTGTCTACTTTTCTGTACTATGCCAGTTTAGTTTAGTTGTACAACACAGAGACAAAATATCAAAGACTGAAAGTGGAAAAAATTCAAAAAAGGTTGAAACAAGGGTCCTGAAAATGGTCATAAATATAACTGGGTTTAATAGAAGCATCCACTGGAGTTTGTGAGTAGGTTTTTTAGCAGTTTAAGAATAACTCAGTAACTCAAGACTAAGTGTCAGTGTAATTGCAGTATAATACTGCAAAGAATGTGCCGCTTTCATAGTCTCCAGTACAAAATACATTAAAAAGGGACAAAGCTGAAAACCAGCTACAGTATAAACTTAGAAATTCTGATCACTTATCACTGATGTCCTTTAAAGGGGTTTGGGTGTTCATTAAAGCGCATGGACATTACGGACACAGGAAATGCAGTCCGTCCATCCATCCATCTTCTTCTGCTTATCCGGGCAGCAACCTAAGCAGAGAAGCCAAGACCTCCCTCTCCCCAGCCACCTCCTCCAGCTTATCCACCAAGGTGCTCCCAGGCCAGCCGAGAGATATAATCTCTCCAGCGTGTCCTGGGTCTGCCCCGTGGCCTCCTCCCGGTGGGGCAAAACACCTCACCCAGGAGGCATCCTTGTCAGATGCCAGAACCACCTGAACTCGCTCCTTTCGATGTGGATGAGCCGCATGCGGCATGCTGTGAACATCTTATTATTGCAGAACATTTTGAGAGGCTCAAAACCCATCCTCTCAAGCAAGAATGGGAAAACATGTTTGTGTTTGGGGGCTGAGCTGCAGTTTTGAGAGCTCAGTGTTGTTAAAAAAAGAAAGAGGTGATGCAAACCAGTGGTAAACACGCCCCTGTCACGATTTTGTTTTGAAATGTGTCGCTGGCATCACATTAAATAAAATAAGCGTATATTTAAACATTTTACAGCTGTTTAAATCCGCTCTCAATTACAAAATGGGCTTTGCAGTTTTTGGGAAATCTTTTTCTTTCTTTTGATCATGATTTTACACAGTTTGAACTTGTTGTTGTAGTAGATATCATTTTCATGCTGATCAGCACTGATGTGCGTGTGCTCATGTACTCATTGTTGTTGCTGAGAACACTCGGGACATGATACAAGCGGCAAACACTCATATTACACACCCGTTTGACAGCTCCTGTCATAAAATCCACTATTGAGGCATCAAAACTGGGATCCAGAGGAAGAATTTTGTGAAGGACAAGAAGAAAGAGACTGAGAGAAAGATCAGCCTCGCATCTTCCTGTCCGCTTCCCCCTCCTCACAGAAGATCCTCTAATGTAGGCACTGTTTGCATTTCAGTGCAGTGCTTCTACTTGCCTGACAGAGGGAATTTTTCCTTGCTGAATAAATGAATAAATGAGTGTGGTAATTAAAAGCAAACTGACCTACTTCTTGTTTTCCTTTTTTTGGACATTCCCCATTTCTGGAGTTGGAAGACAGGATGAATACGACTGCTACCTGGCTGCTGGTTTTAAAGTCTTTTTTTTTTTGTCAAGAATTTATCAGCGGACACAATCCTGCGTCACTGTAGGATACACATACATATAGATATGTACCACAGCAGCTGCTTTGTGAATGCGCCGTGTGTTTGTCTGTGTGCCTCTGCCACCTGATTCTTCACACAAATTCAACAAAGTGAAAACAGCTCAGTGAGAAATCCCGGCAATGGCTTCAGGTATAAGCAAGAGGGAAGAGGGTGAGCAGAAAAAAGAAGAAAGCACCGGCGGGTGTGATAGAGGCTGAGAGCGGCAGAATGTAAATGGCCCTGAATGTCAACCAGCTTTAAAGCGCCACGGCTGCTGATACGTTGCTATCTTTACTGTCACTGGTTTGCCTCAGCATCCATTGTTCCATTGACAATTCAGGTAAAAAAAAAAAAGAGTCAACAGTGACTTAACACTAGTGTAATCTTGGCAAAAGGAAAATTCTGGAAATGTCTAATCCTTCCAGTGGCTGGTTCAGCTCCTATCACAGAACCTGTCTTTGCAGGTTCTGTGATAGGGCTGCGAGTGAGAACAGGGTGCATGTAATGTATGTGTGCTGGTGCGGTAATAATACACTGGTTTGTGTGTGGCATCATATTTATGCATGTAGCATTTCCGATATTTGTGCAAAAGCATGAATGCAAGCTTGGATGTGCAAAATCTGTCTTGAGAATGTGCTCATTCACATGGAGAAAGTGCACTGCAATACGTCATATGAAATATCTTAATTAGAGGGAATACACACTATGCCTCCCCTCTTATTTTAGAGCATTTTACTATTATAAAATTATAAAAACAAAAACGTGATTATAAAAACAGTTTCTTTAAGCATCCCTTTCACATATTGATATGAATGAAACAGTCGCGTGTTCCTGCCACTAACACAGTACACAACAAACCTTTCTGCCTTTTAAAGTCAACGCAGATGATTACTGGAGTAATATCTTATTTGGGAAATTAATACACCGTTACATTGCTCTGTCATAATTGAATCACATATGAAGAGTCACATATCTAAATGGACTCTTCATGCCCCTTTAAGCAGGAGATTTGTGGTAAAAGCACATCTATTTTTAGTCAGGATTTGTTATTATAACAAGATCATAATGGTTAATGGATATTTGTTCAAATACTATCATTTTTTCTGTCAACCTCCCCAGTAGCTTTTCAGCTGTATCGATAAAGATATTTAAAATTGCTTCTTTGTATCAAGGCACGGGTCCCGCAGCTTCTGATGTAGCTCTTCTGCTTTTAGCATATAAACATATAGTGTTATTTGAAGACAACTATGCTATTACTTGCTAAATTTGATAAAAACAAAACAGTCTGCTCAATGCGATCATGTTTTTTTTTTTTACTTGTTTTTAAAAGCTAGGTAAGTAAGATTATCCTGTTATGATCATTTTTCATTTGAATAAATATTTTCCCCGCTTTTTTTTCCCTCGTTTTTGAGATTGCAGTCTTTGCAGTGAGCATAGCTCTGAATATCTGTGCAGGGCTGTGTGTGCGTGCACAGAAGCATGAGAGCAGTCTGCCAATTATGTATATTGAGTTTCTCTTCTGCTCACTTTACCTAAGTGCTCCAATTTGGCAGATGCACATAAACAGATGATCTATTGAGGAGAGCGAGAGAGCTGTGCAAGGTAAAAAGGGCTGGACTGGGAGGACAATAGAAACAAAGGGTTTTATTTGTACATATCTTCGCTTTAAGCAGAAAAATACCATGTGGTTTATACCAATATTTTCAATGTTTATGCAGACCTTGTGCTTGTATTTCTACAAGGCGTGTCCTCTGGACTATCACTCTCTTTGCTGAAAAGACATTTATGAGGACGCTGCTATTCATTTTTTGAACCATTTAAGATAATGGCTGTAATTCATTTGCTTGGACATGTTTGCACATCACTTTTGAATTGACAAGTACTGTTTATCAAACATAAGACAGGAGTACAAATAGTAGTGTGTAGGCGAACAATGTGAGGAACCATCTTACCTTGTGCAAAGAGAAAGTGCGCACGCAGAAAGTGGCCAATTCTATCGTGTCCAAAAGGGTCACTTGGGTCATACCGTAGGTCTCTGTACCTCGACTTGGCCAGTATTGATCACACTTAATCTGGGAGAGAAAGAGAGGCATTAGCTACAGCATGAAAAACCTCACGGACATAAAAAGGCACGGTTAGGACATTTTTTAAATCACATTTATTCGTATCATGGCGTGCTCTCGCAGCAAGCTCTCCTTTGGACTGAAACAGTGCAGTGGTGACAGAAACACCGGGGCAGCTTCTCTATAATTCACATCTGAGAAACAACATTATGCACACTGAACAGATGTGCCTGTCACAGCGACTCCAATCTCACTGCATAACTTTACCAACCTCACACAAATCCAGCCTGCTTCCTTCCTTGCCTTTTTCTTAAAACAAAACATATTCAACAGTAATGTGAAACACAAGGAATGTAATTGAAATCTCGGGAACTTGATGACTTTCCATAATCACAGCTGCTATAATTTCAAATCTTCATACGGAAACCTGGACACTTTTTAAAAGTTTATTAAGGAAAAAAACAAAACAAAACAAAACAAAACACTTTTTAGAGCAAACCCTTGATTTGTTGTGACTGTTAACATTTTTTCTAGTCCTGTGGCACTACACACAAGCACACAAACCACGTCAGTCCACCTAATAAAGATTCATTCAATATGGGGTGTGATGTGCCAGCGGACATCTGATCAGATGTGACAGCTTGTGAGGGAGACGCTGCTCTCCAGTTTTCTCTCCCATTTCCTGGTCGAGCTGACACTCGAGCTCCAGCACCCGCTAACCCTGATCACGTTTGACAGGAGTGGAATGCGCATGTCAGGATGGAAGGTAGGTAAACAATTCAAAAGAGGACGGAGAAAGGGAAAATGAGTGGAGACACCTGGGGTGAGTGAGCCTGATGTTGACACAGGTTTGACTCGACAGCACGAAACATCATGGTTGGCTTTTTGACATTTAGACAAGTCGACTCCTCGAGAGGACTAAATATTATCACGGCGGACTCACTTAAGTAAAAGTATCAATCCACTGTGAGAAAAAAAAATCCTTTATAGGAAAAGGTCCTGCACTGAAAATGGTAAGAATCACAGAAGCATGAGAACAAAATGTAAAAAAATTAATTAAAAGTATTCATCATGCAGCAGGATGATTTCTAGCTAAACTTCCAAGTGAATTATTATTACATTAGTGGATTATTATACATGCACCCACTGGTCACTTTAATAGGAACATCATGCTAGTATGGTGTTGGGCACCCTGCTGCCTGTATAACTGGCCCAATTTCTTAGGGCATGGATTCAACAAGGTGCTGGAAACATTCCTCAGAGATTGCGGGCCACACTGACATAACAGCATCATGCAGATCATCATGGCTGCACAGCCACCATGTGAATCTTTCATGCATCCCAAAGGTGATCTATTGATTTGTGAAGTGGTGACTGTGGAGAGCATTTGAGGACAGTGAACTGTCACGTTGAGATGATTTGAGCTTTATGACATTATTATGTGCATTATCCTGCTGAAAGCACCATGATCACAAAGGGATGGGCGTGATCAGCAACAATGTAACAATGCAAAGAGCAACTGTTACATTACTATTCCAAACATGAAAAAAACCCCACTACCAAACACCACACTCACCCCACTCCCATTTTAAGTGCAATGAAACATAATGGTGTTTTAGAGCTAATGGGATAAAGTTACATTTTAGCAGCAAAATATATTGCCTGGGCAAGTTTATGCAACTTCACGTACTTAAATGTTAGTCTCCTCTCTTATTCTTAGAGATGCAGTGTCTCAACTGCTGATATCCCATAATGTGTACCAAATAAATGACAGGTGCAGTCTCATTTGCAGCAGTGATTATCATAAACTGCGTTGAACGCTATTCCCCCACCGCCAAATATTTAAAGTTTTCTTTAATGTAGTCTTATTTGTCATTTCTAAGCTAGGACCCAGTTCCTTCACACATTACAAAAACAGGATGCTGAGCTTCCTGAATCTAAGCCACTGTTCTCTCTGGATCGTTTTCTCTCTATATTCTACAATCAACAGATGGCTGTAGGAGAGACTGGTCGCAGGTACTGCAAATACTCTACAGCACTCTAGCACTCCCGTTCTTAAAATTTCATTTGAGCTTCCTGCACTAAGCAGTCTAAGTTCAACAACTCGCTATGCTCTCTGGGACATGCAACAGCTTGTGGTTTCTGCTGCAAATAAGGAGAGAAAACAGAGCTAAGCCTGTGAAGGTACTCCCAGTGGATACGCAGCCTAACTTATCAGATGTGCGCAGGTAGAGTGTCTTTGAGTTAGCTCTGCTTTATCAGCCTCCCCAGTTGCTTTAACCACCCCATTCAAATATCTACAGTTCTCTGAAAGCAATCTATCCCAAGAAAATGAAGTCTGATTGCCTACCAATGGAGTTCAGTTATGCAACTGGGAAATCAATGTAAAGCTGTGCCATTTTCAGCAGCTGGTTGTTGTACTTGGTTGTGTAATGCACTGATTTGATTCCAAGGCTCATTTAAAAGAAAACATCATTTTCGAGCGATTTGTAAGGTTGGGGGTTTAAAAAGAAGCGTACAGAAAAGCAGCCCAGATATGCCGAGTGGACCTACCCGCGACTTCTCTTCCAGCCGGGTCATCATGACAATAGTGGCTGCTCTCTGTTCCCACACCATCCTCCAGAAGTCTCCAAATGTCTCTGGTAAAGGTCCTTGGGTGGCAATGTAAGCATTCTGCTTCCTGTAGCCATCAATGTAGTTAGCGTTGATGTAATCGCTGCCTGTTATACCTACACGTAGGCAGATAGAGGGAAAAAAAAACAGATTAAAAGATGGAACGTGTACCTTTGATGGCTTTTCCTTTATTATTCTTTTTCCAAACCTCATTTATCAGACTTTTTCATTAACACAATTATTATCACGCCATCTGCCTCAGTAAATCCCAGTTGTCACACGCACTGACACAGTTCCCAGCCAAGGAAGGAGTACGTGTAAATGTGAAGACCAGAATAAGACAAGTCAGGAGAATTTGGCTGAATTCCCGTAACATTTCCCAAACTGTCCAAACTACAGTGGCAATGTCTTTCAATATGCTGTCGACCACGTCAGCTTCTAAGAAACTTGTCAGGAAAGGGGTATTATCACCTGATGATAATAAAAGCCTTTACTCACTTGTAATTTATTATGTTACTAATACATATTTATTGAGTTTTAATAATTTACTTATTACACCACTGAAGTGTAAGCAGCTTTCTACACTGAGGTTCTCTTATTTTTTTGCATTACGAAGCTTAATTCATGCAGTATTGTGCATCTATTAGCAATTTACTATGTTTTTATTAACAGCTAATTATGCCTTTTGCAGTTCTCCCATCTGTAATGATCACAAACCAGATTTTTGTGCGCTTTTAAATTAATTCAACACATCTGTCACAATATTCTATCATTTTTCTTTTCTACGTTTGTGGCTCTTTCCAGGTTCCCGTAGATATCGTGTTTACCACCACAACAGACCAAAAAGATGATGGAAGATAGTGGAAAGTAAAACAGCTTCTCAGCCAACATAGCTACGAGGTAGATTTAGCTTCAGTCCCCCTGAGCCTGCCACCATGCTGTGATATACACCGGTCCTACTAAATCTAGCTAGAAGGAGGTCTTTTGCTGTGCAGAAAGATCTGAAATGTTTTTAATGCACAGGATTGTGTAAATGTGCTCACAAGTCAATGTGCCCTTGAGTTTAAAAAGGAGTCACTAAAGGACAAAATGCTTTAAATGTTAACAGGATTATCTTGTGATTGGAGTGTCTTACATCGAGCGTCTGGCAGTGATAAGGCAGAGCATCACCCATCTTCATTTACCAACTTCTACAATCTCTCCATTTGAGAAGAGGCTTCGGCGTGACAGCATCTGTGTGTCGGAGAGTCATGTCTCTTTGACATCTGACATCTCTTCGCTCAAGCAACAAACAATGAAAAACTCGACCGGACTCGTTTAAAAGAGGCGACTCGGTGAGGGCTACGGCCCGGGAGAAGAGGAAGGATGTAATATACAGAGGAAGGGAGAGACCGAGCGAGAGGCAGAAAGAGCAGGGAGGGTGAAAAGACGAAAAGAAAGAACAAAGAATCGAAGTAAAGAAGAGAAAAGAAAGTCAAATGTCATTAAAACGGATACCACGTTGCACAATTTGACTGGGCTGCCTTGGCTTTAGTCATAGCTAAGTGAACAGAGAATGGTGGCGTGCATGAATTGTTCTACTGCTGCGACTAATAGCAAAATCACTGCAGTGTAAAATAGAAATTTCAGACTTGATTAATTTATGTATTTATGGACGAGGCATTTTATTTCCCTGGGATAATTTTGTTATGCATGTTGCTGCACCCTAAAATTGGACTGACTACTGCAAGATACCGAAATCTAGCCCGAGCAGTTATTTCACACAAAAGGAGAGGACTCTGGAGCAGAGAGTTTGGCATTACTGTGAAGGAGTCGGCAGCTCTTCTGGTGATGCAAAGCCAGAACAATGTCAGCAGTGAAGGGTGACTACCTCTGACAATGTCCCTTGAGATTTAGGAGTCAGAGGAAGAATTTTTCTGGCTCTGAGATTCTCACCACCGTGTCTATAGGCAGCTAGAGGGAAGTCAAGACAGGGGCGTAGATGTGATGAGACAAATGGGACACTGAAAACACTGGTTTAACTCCCGACTCGGTTTGAGTGTGAGATCTAAGCGCTTGGCCTAAAGATGAGCTATAAAGAGTCCTTCCCTCACCCCCCAATTTGCCTCTGTAAACTGCTTAGCTGGTCAGTAGCAAGCTGAGCTGGAAAAATGTCCAGAGTTTAAAAATCAGCACATTTCACTTTTCTTCCTTTTCTACATAGAAGTTATACAGTAAGCATATATGGTGCTTCACACGTTTATTAGATAAGTATTTCACAATACTTAGAAATCTGTAGAAAAAAAAAGAACAGGTTTAAAGATAAAAATGACTGAATTCAACATTTTTTATACCCAAACTTGAGCCGGCACAGTGGACTTCTTTAAAATTCAGAATCAGAATATTTTATTAACCCCTAAGGATGTGATGTGTTTCAATCATTAAAACCAAATCTGCTGTTCAGTAAACAACTGGAGTTTGGCAAATCCATTGAAAAATATTAACTGTATTTGTATTTCTGCATTAAAGCACCTGTGCATACTGGTGGATAAACAATTATGTTTACAAACGTATGAGTTGAAAGCGAGAAAAAAAAGTCCTGACCCAAAAAATATCTCCCTCTATATTTTTCAGTGGCCCTAATCCCGTTCCATAATCTAGTCAAGTTTTGTCCCGACGGATTAAATTGCTAATCTATCCCATTTAAATCCACGCTGCAATAAGAAACACCTTTCCACTCGGCTGATTATTTAACATATTCTGCTTTTTTACTGATAACTTACGCTGAATCTGTGTGAGCACTTATCAAACAGCAGCGATACGAGCTCATGTCAGAGGTGGCGAAGATGTGCGGAGCATGAGGCTGAAACTTACCCTCTATGGGAGCCAGGATGACACGTGAGTGGTCGTAGGCGATGACGTTGGCGTAACGATTCTTGGGCTTGTTCACCTCCAGGTTGGAGTGCTCCCAGGTGAACTGCTGGCCTGGATCAATAGACTGACGGGGGTGCAGAGACAGGCAGAACATGCACATGTAAGGAAGCAATCAAAAGGAGCCACGAGAGAAGCTGAGTAATAACAATACAACCTCCGTGCTATCACAGAAAGAAGAGCGGAAGACGGGGGAGGGAGAGATAGAAAGGTTGATTTCCCTGAGAGAAAGAAGAACACGGTATCATTACAATCTGCACGCCGACTGGTTCTGATACAGCAGCCGCACGCGGTACTTTATCAAGATCATTAATGCGCAGGGGTGCATAATGACAAATAACAATATTGATAAAGGCGACGGCTCTTCCCCCTTTGACAGGAGACTCGTGGAATGAGCCTCGACACTTGGGTGAAAGACAAATTCAGCCGTCTCTTTAAAAATACGAGAATTCTAGATAACTATTCCGCTCCCTCGCCAGGATAATTAAGTATTCCATTATGAGCCGATGTTTGCTCATAGGCGTCTGGTGCCGTGTTGGCATGGGGATGGAGGCTTGAATGATATTTGCAGTTGGGGCTGGAGAGAGCGAGAGAAAGAGAGACTGAAGCTGAAACTGAGTCCAATTGGAAACCTAATTTAACATGCAATCAGCATGCAATCATTACAGCAATGAGAGATTCCCTCTGTTTTAGCCTCATCTGGCTTTTCCCCCCCCTTCTCTAGCCTTTTTCGACATCCCCGTTTTCCTTATCAGCACGGCTCCATCTTCAAACTCTTCCACTTTTTATCTACTGTCTTCTCTCTGAAGTTTACTATTAAAGAGTCCTCCACCTCTCCTACTCCCTATATTTTTCCTTTCAGATCATCTTATGACCGACTAAGTGTGAGTATTCATGTCTGCATAAAAAGATTGGGGTCATTTCTCTCTTAAAAACACCTCCCAACTCTCCCTCAGTGCAAAAACCTTCAAACAACATCCGTGTATTTCACATTTCAATATTTTTTTCCACAAATGACATTTAAGAAATTTGTAAATTTAAAAAAAATCGGCAAAATATTTTCTCTTGTAAAACTAGAATTTCTCCCCGTTTCTCCTCCTTTTTACCGTGATGATGGCTGAAGATGAATGACAGCTCGTGTCCACGTGACAGGCTTGGCAGGACGACGCCTCCTGAGCGCCTGACAGCAGACAGATAAACTCTGCCACTTCAGTGTCATCACGCAGAGCCGCGGTTTGCCTTCCTCGCTTCCGTTTGTACTTGAGATTATCTTCTCTTCATCTCCACTCTCCCGCTTTCTCTCCCCTCGCTGAATCCTCATCATTAACCAAAACTTCTCCACCTCATCTCTCTCTCCCTTCTCTCCTCTCTGCCCTCTTCCCCTCCATTTTTTCCTCCGCTCGCACATCCCGCCTGGCTAAAAACCAATCAGTCAAAGCCCTGTAGAGCTGTGCTTGGCAAGCCGGGGCGCCGGCACGAGCAGCCATTCATCAAGAAAATAACAAAATTAAAATTACACTTCTCTATTTAATTTGGTCATTTATTTTTCCTGGGGGGTGGTTGTGCAAAAGGGGCAGGCGGACCGAGGGAGAGAAGACAGAGATGAGCTGGTGGTTTAAGGCTCTCTCAAAACCAAGTAAATAGAAGTTGAAGTTGCAGCAAAGCGTCAACTTTGGCGTCACGTTTCTCGTCTCTCTCTTCCCCTGCAGAACGGAACAAGCTTGTCCATTTGGTATATAGCCCGGATGTGGATTTATGAATAATAGATACCCAAGAAATACAGGATTGCTATTAGAAGTCGTTATCCGCCAACATCCACCAGCGGGCATGATGACGGTGTACCCGCTTCCCACCTTAGCCTGGTGTGCAGCGAGACGACAGGCACAGTGATTTAGGGATGGTGGGGAGGGGATATTGCTTGTATGCAAACGAGAGCTGATTCAGCGCTCCTGATTTCTAATCAACTCTGGTGTCATTTATAACCGCTGCGGTCTCAGAGCTCAGACAGCTCAGTTATCCCCTCTGCACACAAACATACACACACTCCCACACATACCATGTTAAAGCCTGAGTGCCAGTGTGCGCTTTTCCCAAAATCACATTAGCAGAGGTCTTTCTTTGCCATGTGGAGGCTGCTAATGTATGAGATACTTGTTGTAAACACTGTAATTGCTCAAGTACCACCAGCTACAACACGCACATACGCAAAACAAGCAGAAAAGAAAGAATTCAAAAGAAGAAGCACGCGACACTAGAGCATACCGGATGAGACCGTCCTTTTTCCCCCCCAATGAAAACACAACTGGACAGAAATCAACACTGTAAGGCAACTTTCACGTTTGAATCGCTGGCCCACCCACCTCATATTCCTGGGAGAGTTTGAGGTTGTCGTTGGCCTTGAGAAGTTCTGTGTGTTCAGCCAGCTCTGAGATAGGGATAGGAGGATGATTCATCATACCTGCTCGCCAAAAACATAGAGAGACATTCCACACAAGGGAAGAAAGGAAAGAAAGTGTATCAGTACAGCACACGGGACACTGGTTCTAAACATTCACACATGCCATTTAAAGTACAGGTAACTTGTTTTTTGATCTTTGCTTAAATAACGAGGGACAATGGGTTTTAGTGATGAGGAAGCTTGAGCAGGACATCGTGAATGTTACACACAGTAAAAAAAAAAAGCAAAGAAAAATGTGCTGACTGGTGATGTTATACGCACTTGATTGGACCAGGCCAGAGCTCAAAAATAGCCAAGTTTATCTTGCGGGACTGATTGATTATTTGCCAGAAAGGGTTGTGTTATACACCCGCAGACCAAATTGTAATTATTCCCACTGCAATCATGATGCTGATGGACAGGCGGACCAATAGGAACAAAAAGTTGCAGAGCGTAGCCAGTTATAGCTCAAACATTCAGAGGCATCAATAATTGTGATAGCTTGGGAAATTAGTTTAACGTGACATAAGAGGAACAACAAAAGGTTTTGATGGAGAGATCAGACGAAGGAGCCCCACAAATCATCACAAAGACCCCCATTTTGGTCTTTCAATCAACAGAATGCTCATGTTGACAAAATTGCCTTGAACTCCTCATTAGAGACAATCAAAAGTAACATTTGCTTTCAGCTCGACTGCGATCAACAAGAGATGATTTGAATAAAAACCTCACAACTCAATGGGAATACTGTTGAGTCGTTGAATGGTCTCGATCAAGTAGGACATTTCAAATTTAAGTTGACTTAGTTGTTTTTCACTAGCTGTACATGGAACCCACGGTGTTAGCGCAGCCTTAATCTGCAGTGCTCTGTTTGTGCAGTGTTGTTAGCACGGCGACCACTTTTCACTGCTGCCTCTATAAAAATCGTATTCTAGAATCGAGCCCTGACCTGGGGGGCTTATAGGAAGGGAGGTGTGAGAGGGATCAGAAGGTTTAGGAGTGTGAATGATGCTGAGTGACACAGTGAGCTGCTCCATTTCAGCCTGCTAGTGCAAAGATAGCCTTTTCCTTCATCTGCCGCTTTGCTCGGCATTAGCCGAACACTATCTCAATGACGAATACCCCAACGGTACCTTCCAATACCAAAAACAGGCAGACCAACATACACTTCCACCCCTCCCCAAAAATCCTACTGCTTTTTATCCCAAGGCATTCACTAAAAGTACAAGCTTTTTAAATGGGTGGGGAAAATTGTGGGTTTTTTTTCCCTCCTTGCTTCAATATCCACTGAATATTGTGTTGCAGCTACTATAATATTATCAGCACTGCTGTGCACTCCAGTCGCTAATCCATTTAGTTGCATAATGCTGAGGCCATGTAATGGAATATGGCGCAACTGTAGATTGTGGCTCTGTCCCTGCACGCCGACTGGCAATACTTAGCACTTCCATATTTTTAAACACAAGGCCTCTTTTCCTGCAGAGCATTGAGGTCAAAAGTCAACAAAATGTTGACACCACCTCAGAAAAATTCAGGGTTAATTGGGCATGCAAATCGGCATAATCACATTAACCATCCTTAACTTTCCCTTTTATACGATGCTTAATACCCCCCCTCCAATGTCACGGGGGGTCACCCGTGTTTTGTTGCGCTTAA